GATGCATGGGAAGTGGGTATTCACCCACGAAAGCTCATGCTCCAATACGTCTGTTAGTCTATAAGATGCTACAGGACTCTTTGCTGCTTTTACAGACTAACACGGCTACCCCTCTGATACATAATTCCCATGCAATCTCTGTAACCACACTATACAAAGCTATGATGGTTCTGTCCAAGCAATCCCCATGCCAAGCCCTATTCCTAGGCAGGGTGATGACCATATGTCCTGTTTTGGCTGGGACAGTCCCCTTTTTAAGCCCTGTTCCGGGCATCCTCCATAGGGGGGCATGGAAGAACATTCAGGGGGGGTCTTGGGTGAGCGGCACCATGGTGGGGTCCCCTGGGGCCAGCCCTGTGCAGGGGGTGGAGGAAGAAGGGGGTGGGGAGTCCCTCAGGCCAGCCAGTCACATTTCACTTGGGGAAATATGGACACCCTATTCCTAGGGCTTTGCTCAGATCAACAGTGTGACTCCCATAAGGCGCTGTTTTGACCAAACTCTTGGACACAGCATTTGGTAAGGTTTTTGAATTAAATAAAATTGCCCTAAATATAGTCAGCCACATGCTTAAGGAAATAAAAATCGGTGACAGGTCCATGTGCAGAGCAAAGCCAACAAGGGAGTGAACTGTTATTTTCCAGCTTCCAAGGAAGTTGGCAAATAGTAGAAACTAACAGGAAAAACAGTCACACAACAGGATCCTTTTATAAACAATTATTATTATTCCTATGTGTTGTTTGGTGCCATTCAATAAAAATAAAAACAGCCCCTGACTCAGTGAGTTTACAATCTCATTGTCACCTATTAGTTTTTACAGTGGGGCTTAGGGGCTCCAACCCACATCATTATGCTCACAGCTGTATAAATGCTTTGTATGAAACAGTTCCTGCCCTGAAGAGCTCAAAATCTAAAGAAACAAGACAGGCAACTGGGAGGAGAGACAAAAAGTGACTCACCTAAGCTCACACAGCACCAGAGTCAGGATTAGAAGTCAAGTCTTCTAGTTCAACATCATAACTACTAGACTACAAAAGTCACAACAGTACAAACAGCCTAGAGTCCCTCTGACTTCTGCATATCTGATTCTGGGCTCATTTTCTACTGGCCTGGATCTTGCAAACTTCTCCACACAAACAGACTCTTGCTCACATGAAGATCAGTTTACAGGGCTGAGGCCTTGATTGATTTTTATAAATTCCCTTCTTGTGGGAAACCTGGGATTTTGATCAGTGGGTTTCTTTCACTCATTAGTATCTGTAAGTATTTGCAGCATGAAAAGTGCTGTAGATGTGCTAGATGCTAATGATCAAGATTTTATTTCCACGGTTGAATTCGGCCAGGGTGAGCTTGTGGAACTGTCTCTCTTTGGAGAGGGCTGTTCCTCCTTAAGGCCACATTTCAGCGTCTAGCAACAAGCCTGAGGCTGATTGGGTGAAGTACTGACCCCACTCACCTAATCTGACTTTATAAATGGCTTGAGGGGGGTAGGTCTCTGTTTACAGGGAGTGTTAGTGCCAGTCCCTTTAGCAGACTATTTTAAGTTGTGTGAGTGAGGTGAGTTATCAAATACAAATGTTAGCAAACACTTATTTTTCTTTTAAAGCTTCCTCTTGCAGTTAGCAATGTCTGTGTCCTGGGAAGAGATGTAACCTGAGGGTACTGTATTGTGTGTCCTAAATGTCTCCTGGAAGGCAGAGATTTGCTGTCCTCTTGTGTGTGGCTAGTGCTACGGATGTAGTGGTAGGATTGCTGTAGGAGCTCAAAGGGATTAGGCTCACAACACCATTGATGGTCGGGGGATTTGGACTTGAAAATTGCAGCTGTGCTGTTTGGAGAGGGTATCCCCTAGGAATAACCAGGGACACAACAGTGATGCTATGAAACTGTAACTTGCCCTATCTTGCCAGTGCTGGGGACAAGCAGGGATCTGATTTCATTGGACCAGCAGAGCAACTCCCTCTTAGCAAGTATCAGAGGGGTAGCTGTGTTAGTCTGAATATGTAAAAAGCAACAGAGGGTCCTGTGGCACCTTTAAGACTAACAGAAGTATTGGGAGAATAAGCTTTCGTGGGCAAGAACCTCACTTCTTCAGATGCAACGACCCCTGTTCTAGGATATGGTAACACCCTGTTATAGAGAGATCTGATGACTGTCCATGTATTATATCTCGCTAAACAAAAGTTCACTTTTACAAGGATTGGTTTTGTTTCTGATAGTTACCTGGCAGGGATTTGTAAACTTTTTTAAACTTCCAAAATAAATGGGCGGGAGGGGTTGTTGGAAAAACTAGAAATGGTGCAGAGAAGCGCCATACAGATTTGAGGGCTGGAAAATGTCTTGCATCTGAAGAAGTGAGGTTCTTATCCACGAAAGCTTATGTTCCCAATAGTTCTGTTAGTCTTAAAGGTGCCGCAGGACCCTCTGTCCCTCTTAGCAAGCACTGAAAGAGCCAAGTATCTTGCCCTAGCATAGTGGCTGTGATCAATGCTGGTGAGGGGGAGCAGCCTTGTGGAAGTCAATAGCAATGCTCTTGATGGTCAGGATCTGACTTCTCAGGCTGCTAAGCACCCGCCACTCTGCTGGAAAGCCATTGGCTCTGGAGTTGTTTGGCACCACTTATAATCAGACCCTAAGTGTTTGAGATTGGGCCCTTTGTTGCTCTTGTTTTACTCCGCTAATAAACAATGGCTACTACAGTTTGTAGTGATCCTGCTGCAAAGAATTGCTGGTGCCCTTGCTAACCTCCAATGTGTTTAAGTGTTCAGTTCTGGTGTTAAAAAGGTACATAGAGAGATTTTGCTCAGTTTAATAAAATCACTAGAAATGACTGGGTGTAACGACCCCTGTTCTAGGATATGGTATCACCCTGTTATAGAGAGATCTGATGACTGTCCATGTATTATATCTCGCTAAACAAAAGTTCACTTTTACAAGGATTGGTTTTGTTTCTGATAGTTACCTGGCAGGGATTTGTAAACTTTTTTAAACTTCCAAAATAAATGGCGGGGAGGGGTTGTTGGAAAAACTAGAAATGGTGTAGAGAAGCACCATACAGATTTGAGGGCTGGAAAATGTCTCTCCTTGTGCTCTTTGAGTCTCTCAATCTCTTTAGTTTACCAAAAAGAAGATTGAGAGGTAACTTAATTAGTGTTTAAGTAGCTTCATGGGGAGAAAATACTAGGTCCTCAGAGTCTATAATCCTGTGGAGAAAGGTATAACAGGAGCCAATGGCTGGAAGCTGAAGCCAGAAAAATTCCAGTTGGAAACAAGGCCCAAATGAACAGTGAGGGTGTTAACTATTGGAAAAAACTGGGATGGGAATGGTGGATTCTTCAGATCCAAACAGAGCTTAGTCAAACCCAAATTATTGGGTTCAATACTGGGGTAATTGGGTGAAAACTTAATGGCCTGTAAAATACAGGAGGTCAGACTAAATGATCTAA